ACCAAATACTATAGATCCAAGACCGGAGGTGGACAGAAAAGGAAGAAATGGGTCCAGGATGTAAAGCAAGGCAGGTGCTTTGGAGTGGAAAAAGACCTGGTGGAAGCGGCACTGGCAATGGGAGGGAAAGTTGACACCACAGCTGACTCAGCAAAGGCATCCAGTGCAGCAGCTGTACTTGCACCAGCTGCCAATGGCCAAGCAGCAAAGCCATCCAGTGCGCCTGCAGTAAAGCCATCCTGCAGCTGCACCAGCTGCTGATGGCGCTGGAGCTGATGCCTCAGCAAAGCCATCCAAGGCACCTCCAGCTAAGAAGCCACCAATTGCGCTCCATCACCACCAGCTAAGAAGCCAGCAATTGATCAAGCGAAGGATCTCTGGTCCACAGCAGTTCCTCTTCCAGTAGCAGGGGACCTCCTCTTCCAGGAGCAAGTATCAGTTTGGATGAGGCCAGCTGCTTCATCACCCACTTCTGGCAAGAGCTGACTGCACAAACCAGTGATCACCATAGATCCAAGGGTGAAAGTCAAGCCCGCGCCTCCACTTCCACCATGGAGACAGCGCCCAGCATTGCCTGCTGCATTGCCTCCTAGGTGCGAATAGAGCCAGCGCCTCCTGAACCTGAACCTGAGGAGGAGGGCAGCGGCAATTTGAACTGATGGCAGCTATGGCCAAAAGCTGAAAAAGACAAAGAACAACCCTTTGAAGGATTTGGCAGCGTTTGGCTGCAGACCAAACAGTAGATTGTTCCTTTAAAGGATTACACAGATGAAAACAATAAACAATAGCTCAACGCTTTGAAGGTCTCAGAACATGTCTCAGAGAAAGATATATAAGTGCTAATGTATATTTTCCAGTCACTGCTGAGAAACTTGTTTTCAGTCAGTTTCAAAGCTGTTGATGTGATCTGTCTCTGCTGGTTAAAACCTTCAGAAGCTGTGGTAGCCCAGGATTAGGCAGATTGAGTTGGCATCAAACCTTGTGTTGGCCCCTTCAAGGATTCAGACAGCTTTGCAGGGAAAAAGAAACAGTAGCTCAGCCCTTTGGAGGACTCAGAAGATTAACCATTTGAAGGAGTGGCCCTTTGTTCAGACAGTTTGTCATGGACACTACATTGATCCTTTGAAGGATTCACATAGCTGAACAACAGACAATAGTTCAATCCGTTGAAGGACTCAGCAAAACATCAGGGTCTTGCTTGGGTCAGGATCACACTTGTTGAATCATTTGTTCAGCCAATCTCTTCTGAGGTCAGCCTCCCTCTGCAGAACCTTTGGTAGTGTGGTGCTTCAGCTCAGGAGTTGAGAGGCTTTGGCAGTAGGCAAAAAGAACTATATTAGTGTATATGTATCTTTTCATTGGTTCAGAAAGCTTGCCATACAAAAGGCTTTAGAAACAATAACTCTGTGAAAATCATGTGAAAAAGTGATTTTTTCACAGGCTGTGAAAAAGTAGTGTTCCGTTTAAAGTAAAAGGAAAACAATTTTTCACGGGCTGTGAAAAAAGTACTTTTTCACATGATTTTCACAGGCTTGTGTTTGTTCACAAGATTTTCATAACGTTTGAAAGGACTGATGTCACGCCCCGATGTCTTCAACTATATCTCAAAGAGAGTCAATGCCCCCCATGCTGGAGTCATTTAGTCGCTCACTGTCACAGTTGTTGGGGTGATTTGCATTTGGTGAGGTCAAATTCCTTCTTCTCAACCTTTGCAGGTTTGGTGGCTCAGCTCAGGAGTTGAGAGTTTGGCGTTACACTTAAACACTAGATGCATTGATCCTTTGAAGGGTTCAGACAGCTTACCATGAAAAAACAATAGCTCAATCCTTTGGGTTTGGCAGTGCTTGTCATCACACCAAAGCAGTAGATTGATCCTGTGAAGGAATCAACATTTTCAAAGAGACAATGGAGTCTAATTATTGATTCTGAGGCCCACCTTCCTTTGCAACCTTTGGCGGTTAGGTGGCTCAGCTCAGGAGTTGGGAGCTGGCCAGTAGATTGATCCTTTGGAGGGATGAGACACTTTATCAAAAACAGTAGGTTAATTTGCGGCGGTTAATGTAAAAACTGTTGGTGTGATTTGTCTCAATTGCTGTGTGGAATCCTGTGAAGGAATGGGACGTTTTATCAAAGATGCATTAGGTGTTTCTTGCAGTCTATGTAAAAGCTGTTGATGTGATTTGTCTCTTTCTGTGTGGAATTTGTGCTTATTCAGCTTATTCAGCTTCAAGCTACAACTTGACTAGTGTGTTTCA